CCCCCCTCCCCAACTCTTTCACCCTCACCGTTTTTTACACTGAGAGCTAACAGGAACTGCAGTTTTTCAGTTTCTTTTACTTAAAGTTTATGAGAAGTTTTTGAGATGTGCGCCAATGCCTATCGGTCATACGGCCCAAAATCGAGTGAAAGGGACTTTGTGCACGTGCGGAGAAGGTGAAACATGTTGCCTTAGGTGAGTTGAACAATTTGTTTTTTTCTGCCCTGAAAAAGTTTCGTTTGAGCGTCGATATAATTTTCAAAAAATTTCAAAAATACGTTAAAGTTTTGTTTGAGTTAAAACTTTGGCAAAAATAATCCACCAAACCAACCGCTTCGCAACCTAGATTTTGATTAACATGCGTTACTCCGACTGGACGCGTTTTGTTCCTTTATGTTTAATGAAAAAATTTCAGTAAATTATGATTGTTTTTTGCTTTGTCAAGATGTGGTCTGTGTCGTGCCTGTGGTGAATCGTCGGGCATGATTTTCGATCGTGAACTGAGAGTTGCACCGCCAAGAGCAAGCCTTTCACCTTGTCGTCTGGTGCTGCAGCGAAATGTCTCTGATATCAAGGTAGATTGAGATTTCCTGGACTCGAAGTACTATCGTTTTTTCAAGCAATATTTTCATTTAAGCTAAAAATTTTTGTCTGCTAGAGATGGGCAACTCATGATAGAGGGGGCTGGCATAGTTGCACTCGGTGTGTGATGGCTTGTCAGTAAAATACGTGGTTACTTACACCGATTGCCCTTGAGGTCTTTGTATTTTGGGTACTGTGCCTCATGGCTCTGCTGGATTATTTCCTATTTCCAGAACTGAATTAGTCCACTGATAAGCGACCATCAGTAGCGGGGAATCAAAAGATCGTTATCAAGATAGCTAAGCAGGCTTCGGACGAGATATTTGTTGAAGCAAGGGCCACTGATTGGTTGTTTCTTATTAAATGCTGTCTCAGGTGAGCTAGCAGCCAATTTTATTAACCTGTCCGGCTAAAGCAGTTGAGAGATAGCGGAGGAACAAATTGGTAAATCGCTTCTCTTTCTGCATGACAGTACCATTTTCTGAAAATCAATTTCAGGTCTCATCGGTGTGCTGTGGCAATTACCACACAGTTGTTCTGGCAGCTGATCGTAGTGTTTTTACTTTTGGCTCAAACTGTCACGGACAGCTGGGCATTGGGCACGTAAGGAGCAGTACAGGTCCACACAAGGTTCATCATTTCCTTATCAATCATTTATCGGAGCACGAATATTTTTCATAATTTTGCAAGTGTGATAACGCATATTAACGTCCATCCTATTTATATTTATTCTTTCTCTGCCATTTCATCTCCAAGACCAGGTAGACTAGGAAACTGAGATATCTGTGGTCTCATCCCTCTATCTCAACTTGTTCCAGTGTCCAGTATTAGTTCCACATTAAATTTCAAGATGTGACTACAGAAAAGTAGACACCAAATTAGCATCCCCTTAATTTGCTTTGGACATCATTTTGCTTGTTCTTCAAATGTGGCCACTTGGATAGCAACACCAAAAGATTTATTTGCATGCTGAACATAATACTCGGCCAAAAGTTGCGATGCACAGAGTCGTTCGAAATCCACTCGTAACTATCGTAACAACAGTGTCTGCTGACAAAACTGATGGTAAACACATGATTGTGCTGCTTGCTTGATGCGCATCGCTTTTTAATGACTTTCACTCCGCTTTCGGTAGTTTCCTGGTTTGTGAGCATTAAGAGCGAGTTTAATACAATGCTTGCTTACAGTTCTAGTTTTTGCTCTTGGCTGCTCGAATGTCTTTTTGTGATATCTGAGCTTGATATCTGTCCAGCTAACTACGTTCAGGGCGTCTTCCAATGATGCAGCCAACAACCATGTCACTTTCTTTTGTCTTTTGTGGTTGTTTTGTCCAATGCTGCTTCGTCTGCTGGTCAGTCTGGTAGTAATCCTGACGTCCTATTCGTTTCCTAAACTGGTAACCGGCTTTTTATCACTTCCGACAGAAGTACTTTGGCGCGACTTGTCCGTTGTCACCTCGTCTTGAAGCTTTGTGACTTCCAGACTTCAGCCTTTTCTGGATGCTAATTCAGAAAAAACTGAGGACTAGTTCGTCGTTTTCAGTGGCGTTGGTTTTTATGCGTTTTTGCATATATGTAAATTGCAAAAACGCATATTGGAAAGAGGCTGTGTGTG